AAGACGTTGACATATTCCAGCAAATTTCGGTAACGGCCGAGTAATATAATCGCATATATATATATATATATAGAATATTTATTAACAAATAAATACTTTTCATCAAAATGACTGATTCGGCAATTTCTGCCTTGGAGCAATTAAAAAGCTAGTGTTTATAGATATAAGAAGATGTGGTATGAGTGCCAATGAGACAACTCTCCATCCAAGTCAAAATTTATAAACGTAAACCTTTATAGGTCAAAGTACGGTCTTCAACACGGAGCCTTGGCTCACACCGAACAGTAAGCTATAAAGGACCCCAAAAATTACTAGTGAGTGTAAAACCATTCAAACGGGAAAACCAACGGTCTAATCTATATAAAAAACGAGAAACGAGAAACACTTATGAACCAACACATCAACAAACGACAACTACTGAATATCAGATTCCTACCAAAGCACGCGAATTCACCCTTGGTGTTTTTTGCTCCGCGTTGAGGGCCTCACTGTGACTTTTAGATGAAGAACAGCAATAAAAGAGCTGATCCTTTGCTTTTTGTGTTTTTTTTTGTGTGTGTGTTTTTTTTTTTTGCTATGCATGTACTGATTTTGTGTCATGGGTGGATACCCCATATCCATTGTTTTTCTATTATAGGCTTTTTATGGTTCCTGTTGCTTATTTTTTGCTTTAGTTTTCAGTCTTGTATTTCTTACCTTTTCTGCTTTTACCGTTTACGTTGTTTCTATCGAAACAGTCTTGTCTTCCTTTATTCATGATTAAACCGTCTTTTTGAATTTATACTTTCATATTTAGTCCAGTACTAGAGTAAGAGAATTAAACCGTACTGATGGCTTGGTGATGTCTTATGATCAGGCAAGAGACATGCATCAATCCGATGTTGTATTATACATAATCACCTGATATGAGGGTCTGGATAAGGAGTTCTTCATTTTTTTATTCCTTATGTTTTAGACCATTTCTCTATTCTTTATCTATTCAGCTCATTATTTTCTTTTTTTTATATTTTAATACCCCATTATTCTCTATTTTTCATTTTTAGCCCTTTATTCTGCTCTTTTAGTTCATTACTTTTTATTCTGTAAACCCCATCATGACCATCTGATATGACTCATTATTAACCTTTTGAAACATGGATAACACGGTGGTGGTCACTATAGTGGATCTGGAACTGTTGATCCTTCCGGGTAATCTGAGATCACTTCCGGTTTTTGGAAGAATTTGTTTTGCTCAATCTCTAATTTACTGTGTTTTGTTACATGGACTGCTGTTTGTCTTTTCGTCGTTATCCCCCCCCCCCCCCCCCCTATTCTAAGTTTAATGTCATACTTGTAATTTACGAATCACAACCAACTGCCTCCAGTCGATTGTTTTGTGCTTGCATAACGTGCGGATGGGAAGGGGGACTGGGGGCAGAGAAAAAAACAACATATTGGCTCGGAGTCAGAATAGCGTATCTGGATAAGGAAACTGTTACTTTGTGTAGTAGCTCATAGCTGATCTATATGTAGACTTTTTAAACGGTATGTTTAAACACTATAAGGTTGCAGTTCGGATATGACCATATTTGAGCTACACAAATCTTTACGATACAAAAATATAATGTGTCATCATTTTGAATAAAGCAGGATAGGATGGAGTTCCCCTTCTTATTGGAGAATAGTTCTTCATAATGTGGGAAATGATTACCTTTAAATTTCAGCCAAATTTGTAAAAAACATATCATTTATCCTTTGATAATAAATTCATCGGGTTATTGATGATGAAGATAAAAATACATTTATAGAAACTAAAAATAAATTTATAAAATCGTGTATTTCAAGTTTTATTTGTGAGGAAATATTACCAAAATTTTGATTAATATCTTAAATATTGCAAACACAATCAACCAGTATTATATTTGATTAGGAGTAACCTCCCCTTAAACGAATAGGGCTAATATTTTAATATATGTCTATTGGCAAATTCATGCCAAGACTTCTTGTAGATTAATCTGCTTTTGTTGTCGTTTTCTTTAAAAAAAAAAAAATTGTTGATATACAAGAGTATTTTTTTTCAAAAAAGGTAACCAGTTGAGTTACAAAATGTACAGTCGCCTTGACCAATATAACGACATTCATACCTCCAATTTCGAAATAAACCATGTGTTCAATGTGAAAGAGAGATAGTTCTATAGCATATCTAGAAATAATTAAAATCTTGTATCGGGGAGCAGAAATTAATGTCTAAAATAAAACTTCCGTTTGATTTAGTTTTTGATTCAGCACATTATGAGTCAACATTTTTTATTGAATAAATTGATTACATCATATTCCTTTTCTCATTGAATGTAAGCATTCTAAGCAAATAAGAAATAATTTATACAGAGAATGAAATCTCCGACGTCTTTTTTTTTTAACCGAGATGAAAGATTCGATTACGCCAACAATCCCTGTTCTATTGATTTTACGGTTATATCGACAACTTGCAATAATGAGTCGATGCAGCCAGACTTTATTTCCAACAGCAGCAGTATTTATCTTGAATTTGGATATTAAATAATACGATTGAGTTATCATATTTAATGAACATTTGAAGTTTAAGTCAGTCAGTCGACGTAAGAATCAGGCAGTGGAGAAAACATGACAAACGAAAACCCACTCAAATTTACATTGAATTCAGCTCATGATATGTAGTAATGCACAAAAATAACGTTTATTTCCTTTTCATGTTCTGGTAATAGAAGATATTCTTTGGTTCAAATGCAATAGAAATTAACATTTTAGGGGCGATAACTCCTTAATTTGTTATCATTCTAACCAACAGTTATCACGAGTTATTTAGAAATACTACATACAGAAACGAAAGACTCACCATTTTTAACTCAGAATGACGGTAACATTAAAATGGTTAGGTTGGCGGGTTTTTTTCTGACCATGTTTTGATTAAGTCAAATTGTCTGATTCTTACAAAGACAGGCACTTATTATACAAAGGCGATCTCGGTAGTATATGATTGCCGATTAGAAAAATATTCACAGGTCGGCGTACGGCCTTCAATAACCAATAATAAATAAAACTTTCGACTTGGGCCACCTTATTCCGGGAAAATAAGAATAGAGGGGCAACATATAAACACATGTTATTGTAATATCGTAGTGATGAGAGCAAGAACACATTAAATAAGCTGAAATATAAAAGAATATTTATTAAAAACAATAAGAAAAAAGTGGAGTCCATGCCTAAAGCGATTGTCAATAAAGAGCAAATTTACACGTCTAACCAGTTTCCACATGTGCTTAGGGTTTTTGCAGCCAATATGCTTGTGCACACTTAGAAAAGAACGTAGCTTTATTAATAAATATAGTATCAGAAAAGATTTGTTTACTATTACACGTTATAGCAATACGTGTTTCTATGTTTATCGTGTTTGATGCAGCTCCATAAGGGGACCGTACATCCCTACCTTATCTATATATAAAAAATTTATATAGGTAAACAATACTTTCAAACAAGTGCCTGCGTCCCAATAACTGGTAAACAGAGACCGCAATACATTGTAGAAAAACAATAAGGAATTTCGACGTTTTAGAATTTTTGAAAATCTGTTTCTATTTTCCGATGGCACAAAAAATAAATCTTTACGGCTCATTTAATTTTTTTTTCATGGAACTGCATTATATTTTATGCATCCATCATGATTCAAGTCGTGATTAGGTTTTACAGTTATCATTTGCACGAGAATGTTTGAAAATGCATACATTTCGAGGTAAAACCAAGTTGTGATTGATCTTAAAATTTGTATTTGCTATTTCTTGGTTATGTATGCGGCATTTATATTAGCTCGGAATCTGAATAATGTACATGGATTTAGCGAGATTTCCTTCAAAACCTATTCATCTTAACAATCTTATACAAAGCATGATCAATATACCAAATATGAACTCAACTAAAACAGTATATACTTGAATATGCATGTAATATTTGCCACTGGATACTAAGGGAACAAATAATCGATTATTCATTACTTTGCGTGTAAATGGACATGGCATCTATATATACAGTTCCAATATATTCATCATCTTTGAATAAGGCGACTAGAACTGTAACCTTCTAAGTGCATGCGAACTGAAAGTACTTAAATATTTCCATGCAGCAATCCTTTAGATGCAATAAAATCAATGCCTTTGTTGCATTGACATTACCGAGTAATTCATAAAGTTGTCTCATTAACATAACCCCTATATTCCTTTTATGTAATTGATCATGTCTGATGGCTATTAAGTCGCGCGTTCATGGAAATCAATATATTACGGTTTGTTTCTTAATTTCTGTCGGGGATTTGTGTAGCTTGCAAGCAAGTTTTGTTCATTATTGAATGCCGTATGGCGACTAGCTTGTGATTAATGTGGTCATTCACATGTTTGTTTTGTGTGTGTTTTCTAGAAACAAATCCCGTTGTTTGGATTGTAAACTAATAACAATCTTTTGTTTCTGGTGGGGAGTTTTCACATTAACTATCATACTTTAATACATATCTTAATTTTATATTAACAGTACGTAATTTAACCTTTTCCTTTGGAAAATACCTGTACTAATATGTCAGTTGTTTTCACTTGTTCCATTGTTTCATATCGTTTGATTTTGTCAGTTTTTATGGAGATTCCCTTTATTTTTGGTATATTTTTTACCAACAGCTTAGCTGCTAGCGTTTTTTTTCATATGTACATTTTCAGTTATATTTCAACTTAAGTAGCAAGTCTCAGAGGCAAAGAAAGATTTTTTCTCTTGTTTGCTTTATGATCATACGTTTTTGATTTTTGGTTTTCTTAATAGTTGGTCACGAGCTTGGTAGGCAAAGTTTTGGTATTTTGCTTCGCGCCCCTGTTCTTTGCTCATAAACGTTGTATATTTTCGGTGTTCTGAAATTTTAGTCTTCAGTAAACCTGATGGAGGATTTTGTGCAAATTGAGACTGGTATCTAGTTTGTTATCAATAATATAATAAAATAAACAATCAGGTAAGTAGTAATTTTGTTTTAATTTGGATTGTAGACCCAGCTACAACTGATTGCAATAAGCAAAAGTAACATACTGGAATAATATATTTCAATACGTCATAACAACAGAAAGAGTTCAAAGTTCATGACTGAATGTAGGATTTCAAGATTTGTCAAGAATAAGAGATTGAAAGTAACAGATTAAAAGTTCATTGAGCTGGAGGAAATGTTTAAGCTTCCTCTTCTCCTTCTTCCTCTTCGAATTCTCCTTCCTCTTCTGCTGTTGCATCTTGGTATTGTTGGTATTCTGAGACCAAATCGTTCATGTTGGATTCGGCTTCTGTGAATTCCATCTCGTCCATACCCTCGCCAGTGTACCAATGCAAGAAAGCCTTACGACGGAACATAGCGGTAAATTGTTCTGATATTCTCTTAAAGAGTTCCTGGATGGCAGTGCTGTTACCAATAAATGTGGCGGACATCTTAAGACCACGTGGTGGAATGTCACAGACGGCTGTCTTGACGTTGTTGGGGATCCATTCAACGAAGTAGCTGCTGTTCTTGTTCTGTACGTTCAACATTTGTTCGTCGACCTCCTTCATGGACATACGTCCTCTGAACATGGCAGCAACTGTGAGGTATCTGCCGTGACGGGGATCGCAAGCTGCCATCATATTTTTGGCATCGAACATCTGTTGTGTGAGTTCTGGTACAGTTAAAGCTCTGTACTGTTGGCTACCACGTGATGTCAGGGGAGCGAATCCTGGCATGAAGAAATGGAGACGTGGGAAGGGTACCATGTTGACTGCAAGTTTTCGTAGATCAGCGTTTAACTGACCTGGGAATCGGAGACAAGTAGTGACACCGGACATAGTTGCAGAGACAAGATGGTTAAGATCACCGTATGTTGGTGTGGTCAGTTTGAGGGTTCTGAAGCAGATATCGTAAAGAGCCTCGTTGTCGATACAGTATGTTTCATCTGTGTTTTCTACCAATTGATGTACGGAGAGTGTGGCATTGTATGGTTCAACGACTGTGTCTGATACCTGAAATGAAAAAAATATACATTTAGTTTAAGCCTTAAAAACATTTTTTACAATGTGTTCAGTAAAAGGAAGTTTTCAACATAACCGGTAATTAAGTTGACCTAATTGTCAAATTTGTACTTCCTGGCAATGGAAAAAATTTTCATCCCCGTATAACACCGTTTTGTTTTATATATATATTTTACTCCTGACTGATAATATATACTGATTTAGTTTGTCATAGCTTAATATTTTCCAAAAATTTATGAATATGTGCACCCTATTAGCTTCATACCCCTTTGTTCTAAAATGGTTTTCTGTTGAAATAAAAATTCTACCAATATTCATTCAAAACAATAAGGCCACACTTAAAAATATTTTGGTTTGCCCAAACCCTACCCAAAGGTAGAGACAGTGGGTAGGTAGGTAGGCATTTTCTTTTTTTTCTGCAAAGAGAAATTGAAGTGTCAGATCTTTGTTAGTCTTCATGCCTATGTAATTAAAAACATTTCACATCAGGACAATAAAAGATTTTGAGTAGGCAGCTCAGTATTTTCTCGGCAGGTAGGGTTTGGGCAAACAAACATATTATTTTATATGGCCTAATATGCTCTGAAAGTCGAAATACCAATCTAAGTTATGTCTTGGACTCGAAGCCATACTTACTTTTGGTGATGGTACAACTGAGAATGTGTTCATGATTCTGTCTGGGTATTCTTCACGGATTTTGGAGATAAGGAGTGTTCCCATTCCTGATCCGGTTCCACCTCCAAGTGAGTGTGTAAGTTGGAATCCCTGAAGACAATCACAGCTTTCAGCCTCTTTCCTGACTACATCAAGAACAGAGTCTACAAGTTCAGCTCCCTCTGTGTAATGTCCCTTGGCCCAGTTGTTTCCAGCACCACTCTGTCCGAAAACAAAGTTGTCTGGTCTGAAGATTTGACCGAATGGTCCAGATCTGACAGAGTCCATGGTTCCGGGCTCCAAATCGACCAAGATTGCACGGGGTACATATTTGCCACCTGAAATGAACACATAGAAATGAAAACGTAAACAAAGACACGTTGTTAAATATTGATATGAATTGGTGAATTTAAAAAATAGGACCCAATAATATAAATTATATAAAGCATATAAGCAGATAATAATTTTGAAGATAAATACTTGTAAGATTCCAAGTGGATTGATAATTGATCAATGCTTTTGGTAGAGATAAACTATTTTTTCTTTACTTAGAACTTATTGCAAAGAAGTTATGAAAAAAAAAATCAATAATCATTCCGAGATTTATAATTATTTACTCCAGTGTTGGCTGTTCAAGTCTACCCTAGGAAACTCTGGTGAAGGTTTCCGACAATTTCTCAATTAGTACGTTGAAATAAAAGGATTATTCAAACGAGTATTACCTGTAGCCTCATTGTAGTATACGTTGATTCTTTCTAATTGTAAATCTGAATCTCCATGGTAGGTTCCTGTAGGGTCGATACCGTGCTCGTCTGAGATGACTTCCCAAAACTGGAAGAAAACAAAATATATAAGTTATTATAGCAATATGATGAAAGAATTTTCAGAGAAATGTACAGACTGAGGCAGGCGGGGGAACCCAATATATGCAATCACAAAATTCGAGATTGTATCAACAACTGAACAAGAAATTACGATGTAATATTTAGCAAATGCCGTTATCAGTAAAGAATGACAAAAGAAGCACACGTGCAGGAAACCATTCAGTAAATTTATCATCTGATATCATTTAGCTTTTCTTTTGGACAGTTTTTTTATTGTATATGGAAGAAAGGTTAATATAAAGGCTTTTAAGCTATTAATTTGTTTATCTGTATCATCAGTTACTTATTTATTAATATTAATCGATCTCGGATAGTGTCGGACATTTTTATTACTCATATAATTAAGCACCCTGGGAACCTTGGCTCAACAATATCCTATTCTTGCTTTTATCAGTATCCATAATTTATCAACTTATAAATTACTTATTTATTGTAGGTAAAGTAATCGATTTTCCGTGCATTTAAATCTAGAACAGTTAACTACATTCTTTAATTGTGGAATTTAAATGTCTAAAACTCGATATTGGAAACCTAAATGTGTATTGATTTTTAAACTCAAAGAAGTCAACTTGTCAATCCCATAGAATTTAATTTAATCTACATGTACTTGTAACAAGTTAGGATTGTCAAAATTGGCAGCATGCATGTACTTGTATAAGGGATCAATAACGAATTGTTTACTTTCACCATGGCAACAAATGACCATGTATTGACTTTTCATTTTCGTGTCCTAACAAGAGAAGCAATCAACCGGATTATTGAATGAAAGTAATAACAATGCTATACATTTAAATCAAGATTAAATTTCATACGATTTTATTTAAAATAATGAACTTTAAATTCATTTAATATTTAAAGGTGAAATAAGCAGTTTAACAGAACCGAGAGTCTTTTATGCTTAAAGAATTAATATCCTTTAAAATTAAATGACCCAATATAGTTATTGTGTAAATAAATTGTATACATTAGGTTGTTAGGGGCAATTAAAAACAGAAAATGTTTGAATTGTTGCTATACATATCTTTTTAGATAGACTTTGATAAGATACAAGATTCTACCACTTTGTCGGCCAGTAACCTTACATGTCCTCAAACATTTCATTAAATGTTAATAACAAGACATATATATCCCGAGGAGAAATATTATTAAAATGACAAAACATTTTCCACTAGAATGAACTTATATATTGATTAAAAACCGGTTGCAAGAACTTATTTTTTTTTCCAGACGAAATAGTTTAGACTTTTGCAGTTGAGACATTGTTTTGAGTGGTTGTGAACTCTGCGACCGGAGTGCAGAACAGATCAAATATTTTCATTGGGCGCCGAGAAAGGGGCATGCTCAGTAATTGCTTGTTTTTTGATAAAAATCAGACGCTTTCTTTCCCGCATCACGAATCTTTCATGCATGGCCGCTCACAATTGACCGGTACGACCCGTATACATTTAATTTCAGTTTATTGTTTATGAGTAATCAAAGCACACATACATGATCATGGAAATAAATATATGATTTGTAAAGAAGTAGATAAAGATATTAGATTACAGACCAGATGTGAATACACTTAAGGAAAAGAGGTTTCAGCGGATTTTAAAGTTCAACATTCCAGATTAAAATCACCAACCGCCATTTAATTTGAAATAAATGTATTGAAGCGAAAATACTTTTCTTGTGTAAAATAGTGACAGTAATAAGAAATAGATAAAATTTATCGAAAAATATCCCACAGAAGCCTTCGTCTATTTTAAGACTATGATAGAATGTCTAGCGATGACTCACTAATTTTGATCACCCTAAAACCAAGTTAATACACTACAGGCGTATTGATCCGTGTGGGTAATTAATGAAAGTCGACATTTAGATTAAAATCAGCAGAAATTGATGAAAGTCATTCTAATAATGTAATGAATCATACTCAATGATACACGTGTACTTGATTTTCAACCATGACAAAAAGGCGGCCGACGCCAATTAAGAAAGTATCGATTAACTGCTATCAACATTGAAGGTAAAATAAAAAAAAAAAAAATTTGAATTTTTTTTTATATTTTAATCGACTTACCTTGGCACCAATTTGGTTTCCGCACTGTCCGGCTTGTAAATGTACGATTTCCCTCATTTTGTCTTTGTGTCTTTTTCGTTTGCTGACCCTGTGTGTTACTAATTCAAATGAGAAAGTTTTGCTGGTTTTATACTAAGGTTAGTAGCTAACGAATCAAAACCTTTGTTATGTTCATAGCAACAAGAAACGAATACTTTCATTGGTTAGTTTATCTGATGGCATTATTGACCTTAGGGATTATATCATAATTCAAATGGTTTATTGTTTGTGTGCAAATCCATTTAAATTTTACTAAATATAATTATGACAACATAACAATAAAATAATTTGAGTAAATTGGACTAAATTTGACTAATATTCGTTAAAAATCTAATATGGAGCACCTTCAAAAAAGGGAGGCAGGAAAGTGTACAAATTTCTTTTGATAAATCATAAAAAAGGGGAGGGGGAATCCTTTTGAGATCTTCTTATGCGCATACAGTGTTTACCTCTTTTCCAAAGGAACTGAACTTTCTACAAAATTCTCCATGCTCGTGTTTTTAAAACAAATACATAATAATTAAATTTGAAATACACTGTCATCACAAATATATAACTGTCAGGATGGAGGAGGTAGGTCTCCATTTATGTATTCTTTCACATTTTGTCTTTTGACCATTGAAAATAAGGTCTTGACAAAAAATGAAATGCTGTCTTGTTTAAACCACCCAATTTACTCTTGATATAGACAAACTTGACTGTGCACCTGGAAAAGTTGAAGGCACTGAATAAATAAAATGTAAATGCATTTTATGAGGGTCTGGATGGGGGGACCTTCAATTCTGTATTCTTTAATTTATAAAGCCATTTTTCTCTAATCTCTCTAAATTTGCCCTATTTTCTGTATTCTTTATATTTTAGCACCCCACTATTCTTTTTTTGGTGCTTATTTTTTCTCTAATCATTATATTTTGGCCCTTTATTCTGTCATTTTTGTCAATTATTCTCTATTATGTATACCTCATCCAGAGTGAGACCCTTATGTTTCAGAAAAATAAAAGAAAAACTTTCCTGGATTTTTATGTGCATTTTATTTCGTTCCTACGGAAGTTGCACGGGGAAAATGTTTGAGATGTTTCCGTTATGCTCTAATTGCAGTTAATTTGACAATAGAGGTACAATAGATATCTGCACAACAATAGGTGATCGAAAGTGTGTAAAAATGAGCGGATCGTATCACATAGAATCAAAGCGTTTTGTTTAATTTTACCATGATATTCTGTTAGCGTGACCGTTGAAAAAAGGATTTCAAAATCTCCCAAAAAATTTCTGTTTCTAAAACCCTCAATACATGATCATGCCTATAACTTTTATATATCAAGGTATTACCATTCCTTAAAACTTTCCGAGTCTACAGATTCGTCTGTACCCGGAGAAATTCTTTGGTGCTGACACGGCAAAAAATATCAATTATAAATTACTTCTGATGAATCTGATATCTATAGCATAAGGGATTCACAATATGAAATTAATGAAACATAAACGATCGATACTATAGTTTACTAGTCTAGCTTTTTTACAGAAAGTTACTAACCCACTGAATCTGATGTTGATTGTTTACTATACAAATTGTAATAGAATTAAGCTTTTTTAAAAGTTGTACACAAATTCAGTGTACAGGAAAAATTAAATTTAAAAACTTAAAAAGGGAAAAAAATAATAGAAAAACAAAGATTTGAAAAGAAAAGAATATAATCAGCCAATGCTACGTGAAATGATAGAAAATTGAAAAGTAACATCGACATATATATATATATATATATATAAAACCAGTCTAAAAGGGTACAACATCACCAAAAAATGACAATAAACGAACAAATGTAACTATAAATATTTCGGATAACAGATATCCTTCATCAATATGAGCACGATGTAAAATGAATCAGATAAATCTATTCTGATTATTAAACTATAGCAATCTTGAATTCTATACAATAAAAAAAGTGAAACAGTTTCACCCGAACATCATATGTAGAGACGCTAATAAATTTTTAAAATTTCCAAAAAACGACTCAAAGACATGCCTAAAATGAAAATAGTAATTATAGATATGAACTGGCACAACTTTAAAATTCCAAAATGACGTCAGTTAAGATGTTATAACAACTGCGTGTAAATACATTCCCAAAAGAACAGCACTGATCGATATAAGCTGGTAAAATATGACAAACAGAGGCTGCGTATTTATCATTCCAAATAAATAGCAGTTTTACAATGAAAAGAAAAAATAATAGTAAATTTGGGCTAAGGTTAAAAGTTGGACGTGGATGCGTACTTGTATATCCCTACCAAATGAAAAGAACCCTGGTATTTAAACTAGTAAAATTCCAAAAATTCCAAAAGAATCCTTAAAACTGTAAGAGTCAAGTAAGGAAGCCGGAGTAACTGGAAACAAATGATGTCAGGAAAATGAGTGATGGTAGGGAAAATGAGTGACTCATTCTATGTTTTTTCATTTATGCCCTCTGGGGAAACTGTCCTTAGCTTTCTTATCCAAAACCTTTCCCGAGCAAGTCTTTCGGCCCTTGACCAACCCTCGTTGTGGTCTATGATTGTGATTGTAAGGTTTTTGAGATCAGCTTGGTCTTATTTTAGTATATATATATATATATTCAATTCATCTACATTCTTTGGTAGTTTTAATTTTTCATTCATGTATATTACATATTTGACCTCCTCGAGAGAATTAAGAAAATCAATGAATTAATATTTAAATGTTTTTTTGTTTACCCTAACCCTAGCCAACATAAACATATATAGACTTCGTCAGAACATGAATTTAAAAGTGAATCGCACCTATTGGTCGCTATAAACAAATTAAGTCGATGGAGATTTTGGATTATCTCCGAATAATTGAAAACAAATTTAAGATTATCGTGATTAGCTATAATGCAATGACGTACTTGAATGTACTCTCATGCTCAAGTACAATTATATATACACGGATATGTATAAATGAAAGTTTAGCCTTACAAACGATATTGAATATTTGTTTACGGTTGCAAAATATGAAATTCAGCTTATTTGGAAACTGTTAAAAAAAAGGGGGTGCCTTTATGGACTTATTCTACGAAAACGAGAACATAATCGCCACTTGAAGACAATACACAGAACTAGAGGGGTTAGACTGCCCTTTGTTTTAATTTTACGAATTTCGATAAACGTTTTATGGTCAGTTAAGTATTGTCTGTATCACGCACAGGCACTTGGGGGCATGGACTTCCCCTTTTTATTTTTTGTTTGTTTGTTGTTTTAATTTTTTCAAGTGATTATTCTTTAATATTTCAACTTAATTTTCACTTATTTGATATGTGTTCTTGACCTTATCCAGATGATATTACAACAGTATTATATTAGGTTGCCCCTTTATTCTTATTTTAGTATAATAGAAGGACTGCATATATACATGTATACTGTTATTGTAATATCGAGCAAAACCACATTTAACGTATATGAAAAAATTTAAGCATTGACGAAAACTTAAGAAATATAAACACTAACAAGAAAAAAGGGGGGTCCGATGTCCTAGCTGACGTGGTCTCGTATAGATATTGTTGCAAGGTAGTTCGATTTGCCTACAGAGCTTGCATCTATACATATTAAATTCTGTCGGAACTTGACATCAATGAAGCTATGATATTGTGATATTTAATTGTAGACTGAAGACACTTTTTGAAAATGACCATGTCAGCCAAAAACAGAAATACAGGGGGAATTGGTCTTATTCCTTGTTATATCAATCAAATACTTGACAACGGGGCGTATATATATAATATAGCAATTGTACTTATCCCTTAAACAATTGATTCATCACAACTACCATGTTTATAGTCAGAACTTTTATATGATATACAGAAGCTTATATCTTAAAATGTATTTTAATCTATAGGAATGCCGGCCATACTTCGATCTAAATATTTTCGATGGTGATAATCTATATACAATGCTAAGTCTTTATAAAAGTCAATATTTGCTAATGGTCGACACCGTCCATAAAACCCTCACTATATCTCACTCAGAACGTGTGTAGGATTTACAGTGTAAATATAATTTACCTGATATATGCTAATTTATGCACAGTTTGTTATTAATAAAGTTATATAAATCAAAGGTCTACCTATAACGATCATGTCTATAGATATCTATTATATATACTCAAAGTTGAGCAAGCTCAATTAGATCACAATTTCCCAAGTTAACACTGAGTTTTGGGCCGTGTATCTCATTCGGGATTCTTTTTTTTTTGCATACTACGAAATTTTATATGGAATCATGGGTAGAAATATTATCTTTCTGCAGAAAAGTGTGAAATTTTCCAATCAGTTTAATCATGCAGTACTATATTGAATATAACACTTTCGTTATTTGATTATAGATCTTTAGAGTTGATCTGTATAGATTAACCTTCTCAAAATGAGAGTGATATCTCTCTCTCTATTTACACATGATTGATAATCTTCATTCACCCCAAGTTCATATCGCCTTGATATATTTAAATCATGGGTTATAATTCATAAGTTTTCCTTACCGAAAATTGGGACTAGGCATAAAGGAACTTGAAACTTCTATAGTAGTAATAAAAAATAATTTACTTTTTCATTGTCCAAGAGCTACTAATTAGCTTGTTACGTTCAATCTACACCACATAACGTAAAACATTTTCTGTAAACTTTGTCTCAAAGATGAATTATTATGGATTAATCAGATGTACTTTTTTGTAAAGAAAAGATGAAAAATGAAATCTGTCTAAATTAAAGAATAAATAATGGATCTATTTTACACTAAAATCAGTGCTACATTGGTCCAACCCTAAACATATATACATTAGATTTTTTTTTATTATAAATTATAAAATTTGTTTTTGTTGTTGTTGATTTTGCCTTTTCCAACAGATTTTTACAGTTAAGTCTCATGTTGTCTTGTTACATTACTGTACCAGGTTAGGGGAGGAATAAGCGCTTAAAAACGGTTTTACCCCACCAGATTTTATAAATGCATGTCCCAAAGCCAGTGGTTGTCGTTGGTTGCTGTCTGTCATTATTGTTTTACGTTTATTGTAGTATATATAAGTCACTCAGGTCGTTTGTTTTCTTTTTGAATTGTTTCACAAATTTTGAATCCCAATGCC